GGCAAAACATCAGAAAGAAACTCTTCTAGAACATGGCCACACAGCCAGCCATGAAAGCCTAAAACTCCACTCCACAAATTATGTTTCATTATCATGCTGCTGTGTTTTAGCTATGAGAATTTCTGGACAGAGGGCATGTCATTGACTTCTCTGCAGGTACTGCCAAGTTCTGACATTGAACCACATATATACCAAGCAAACCAAGTGACAGTAGCAAAATGCTGGCTATCCGAGGATTGGCCACATACTTGTTTACATCAGAGCCCCTAAAACTGTTTTTAAGGTACCAGGCACAAAATTGATAGGCACTTTGTTATTGATTTTGTCTACTGAGGGAATTGCAGGGGGAGGACAAATTGCTTTCCTCATCCATTATAATCAAAACACCCTTAAATATGAAGACTTGTGAGTAAAATGTATACTTTTGCCCTTCATGTGTTCACTGTACCTTATTTCCAAGTATATGTGCATAGGACAGACTGCAGGCTACCTTTGTTATTCCTGGAGGAATAGCTCAGTATCAATAACTGTCTTATTTCTTAGTGCTTGATCATTCATTATGCTTCTAATTGATAATTCTGAAGAGGCTGAATTCTTGGTGTCTTGAGAATCTTGGCAGCTCAGTTTTCCCAGATTATTTGGGGTGGGGTGGGGACTCAGGACTCTCCTCTCCCCCCCCCCCACATAGTCAGGGGCTTAAGCTCCCCATCCTCCCCCTTCTGCAGTCCATGGACCACATGCATTAAAGACTGGAAGCATTCATTGTGGAATCATAAGAGAGCACTTCTTTTAATTGGCCTTTCTGTGAGAATTAAGAAAAGGTATGTGGTGTTGGCTTTTGTAGTTTTGTGTGCCTACAGCGTTTACAGTTTTATTTTTAGAAACTTTGCAGAAATAGCATATTGGAGAAGAGTGATAAACTCTGCACAGATATTTAAAACTAATGTGGCTTAAGTCCTTTAGATCATCACTGGGGCATGTATGGCCCTCCAGATGTTCTGGACTCCAACTCCTATCAGTCGTAGCCAACATAAAATCATGGTGCTGAAGGTGGGAGTTGTAGAAGAAAGGCATCAGAAAAGCTGCATGTTCATCTCTGTTTTGAATAACTGTGGTGATGCTTACAATAAATACTTGCAAATGGTATACAAACTATACAATATATTTCACCTTCTGTTTCTGTGGGACCTGCAATAAAACATTGCCGTGTGGTGTGTTCTTTGAACAGTAGGTCAGCATCCCATTCCCATTGGACATGCTTATTCCTCATTAGGCTCTCATGAGTGATTCCCTTCCTCCCTCTTATCGTTTTTTTCCTCTAAAGCTTTCTTATACATCTGTAGATGCCTTTCTCTTATCCACACTTAGTGTCATTTGAGCTATATTTATGCAACAATTATTAGCTGAAAATTGCATTTGTGTATACAAACAGAACCTTAATAAAATGTTGCAGTGATTTTTTTGTTGTGTTTGTTAACTGAGCCTGTGAGTGTGAGGATAAAAACACATTAACTTTGAAGAGCCACATGCAAGACTTTTGGTTTTTCATTTTTGAATGTTCAAAAAAAATATAAGCTTTTTAAAATATAAGCAGAACTCTGTAGAGGATGCAGTTTATGCATGAAGCTAAGTGCTTAGTTTGTCCTGGGAGGACATTTGAAAGGATGATTTTAGTAACACAGCTCTTGCTGCAATATTAACATTGAACTGTGTTACATGGTGGTGGAAGCTAGTCTCTCTCAGCAGCTGCAATAGGAGTGTAACAGAGAATGCACTACAGAGTTTTTTCCATTGTATATTACTCTTTCAATTCAACCTGCAGCATGGAGATAAAACCAAGTGATAGCAAAGCACTGTTATTGTGAACTACTTTCTCAGCTTCAACTCAACCCCTAGTATGTATTCTCATATCTCTGAACAAAACTTTAGGGTGGTTGCAAACCACTCTGAGCATGACCTACCACATTCATTGTGAATTACACTGCTTGGGTATCATAAACTACTTTCCTCCAACTAAAAGCCCCATGCTTTTGGTAAAATATAAGGACAGTAGGCTGCATTTGCTTTAGAATTAAAATATTTTTAATGTTGCAAAGTAGTTAGAAAGCAAGTTTGAAAGAGTAGAAACTCCCTGCCTTCCTTGCAGGGTTTGGAAGGAGCAGCATGATGGACAAATTGGGCCCCAATCACAAACACAATAAGATCTTAGATTTTCCCATTGCTGCTTATGTCCAGCTTGCTTCAGTTCAGACTAGAAGACAACCTGTGCAAACAATGTAATATGGTTCCCTACATATTATATATATCCTCCTTTTTGAGGCACTTGATTCCATTTCCCCTTGCCCTCAGTTTTTGCATTCCCATCTCTGCCACCAATTGTCAGTCATATTTCCATAGCTAGTGCTCATTGGACTATTGTAGGAGGAGTCCAATCCAATAAAGATTTCCCCTCTAAATAGTATTCATACTTCTGCAATACTAAGGTTCCCATGAGTCTGCCAACACTATACACAACCTCTTCTGTGTTGTTGCATCTCTTTTGGCTACAGAAGCATAGGCACACTTCCTTGTGGGTCAGTAGCTATGACCATGCAGTAGCCATTTTGTGGAAAAAGAGAACTAAATGAGTAAGAATTAGAATGAATCTAATACTCTTTAAAAGCA